AGACCTCAATTTCAACTCCCTAGAACAGTCCGGGTCTCACCTACGGGTGCGTGAAAATTTCCGCGGAAAATTGTTACTTGAAGGCGAGAAGAGCTAGAAATTTGAAACTTTAGGATAATGTTCAATACTTACGTACGATCAAAAGATTTTAAATTCGGCTCTTTAGAACCGCCTGAGACTGGCGTACGGACATGTAAAAATTTTGGTCAGAAAACTGCTAACTCGAAAATAAGAAAAGCTGAAAGACTTTAATTTTAAGGGAATGTTCCCTATTCATGTGCGACTAAAAGATTTCATATTTAATTCTTCTAGTGGGGTCTTTTTCGTGGACCTTTCCATTTGTGGAATCATTGAAGTCGATTTCTAAAACTGACGTGCCGCATAGGTGCACTCTAGCCTACCAAACCTCGAGGACCAGTATGTCACAGCGTTAGCTACTGGACTCTTTGCGATCTTGCTACAGCACGAAAAGTGCGAAAACGCATTATCGCACCGGCCTGCCTGTTGTGTTTCAGCCTGGGTTCTAGTCAGCAGTGTACCTCAATAAGGCTAACAAGTGGCAACGCAGATACGAAGTGGAAGTGCACGCACCAGTAGCACCTCGAAATTGCTAAATCCTGCTTCTTGTTGGGAGAACCTGTTCAGCTGGCAATTCCTCGAAGAGAAGGAACTGTCATCAGGTCAACCAGCAAAATGACCACCACCCGATGTAGCACTGGTCAAAGCAACAAGAAAAGATGCGAGCCGCATAGCGAAAAGCCATGCTATATGGTTGACTAAACAGTTATAGTACACAAACATTCTAAAAACTATAATCGAATACCCGCTTTTTAGAAAAAGGTGGATTCGCATCACAAACTTTGATTTATTATTTCGGGAACTTACTTTCATTATTTCATCTAAAGTGAACTTCTTCAGAAGAGCATTACATTCCACAATTTTCGTTGACTGGCACTGCGTCTGAAATGTCATTAAAATGTAGCAGTTTTCTGTTTTGTCGAAAGAATGGACAATGGGTATTTTTTCCAGCTCCCGAGTGGTTTGAAGTTTAAACGCTGTAAAGCTTAATGAAGTTCATATTTTACTGGGAACCATCACGTCAGTGATAAGCACCTACTTCTGTAACTAGGGAAATAGAAATATAGGAGGATTTGGATACTGTAAAAACCTTATGTGGCATGCAGGTGCACGTGACGCAGGGCGTGATATGGCGCGTTTCCCCCGCAACAATTAAATAACCGTCCACGTCGCAGTACTCTGAAACATTCTTATCATTTTTCATCTGCACATCACAGATAAAGTAATTAAGTGTTGTTGCTTCTTTGTTCCCACTAGAAATCAAAACCCTCTTTGCATTCAACTCATAGAATGAGGCAGAAATATTCGGTAACAAATGCCAGCAACAACCACTCTAGCAAAACTGTAGAGGAATAATTCCTCTTTTAAGGACTGATTGCAGTAAGTTGATGACGGATTTGATTCGCTGAC